ACTGTAATTTAGAAGGCTATACAAGGACAAACGAGATAGGATTTATACTTGTTTGTGGTCATGCTTATCACTTTGAATATTTCTTGTTTAGGTTGAGTAGTCAGTGTAAATATTGCAAGGATTATTTTATAAGTGGAATAGAAAAACTGGATGAAAGTACAAGTTTAATTAGAACAGCAACAATAGTCATAGACAAAGATAATTTGAATGTTTCTGAAACAACTAGGGCTATTAATAATACTAGCACAGTTGAAGTTGATAATATAGTTTCAAATAGCAATATAGATTAGTTATATAGTAAGAGAAGAGCCAGAAATCAGCTGATTTTCTAGGGGGCTGAAAAAGTGAAAATTTAATATGAAGACCTGACTAAAAGAGGGGAGGTCAAACTTTTGGCCAAAATCGAATCAGCTGATTCCTGGCCTCACCTTAATGCTATGAATAATTTTAAAGCTGTATAGTTTTTATTTAAATTATCAATAAAATTTTATTTAAAAAAATTTTTTTATTGCTATTGTTGCCTATTATATATAACAAAGAAAAAAATTTTAATTATAATACAATTACAAAATAAAAGATTTAATAACAATAAAAAAAATAATAATAATAATAAACAATACAGAATTAAATAATTGTTTTTTATAACATGGAATTCTAAATGTAACTTAACTATCTGGTTTTTAAAAATATATAAAAAATTTTTATTAAAAACACACCCAGAAAGTATTTATGGTAAATTACCTAAATTTTGTATTTAGAATTTACAAAAGCTGGTTATGAGAAACAATTAAATAACTTTATATAGCCTTATTTTAATAGATAAATATTTTCGTAATACTCTGCGATGTGCTAATTTATCGCATATATATTTATTATTATAATTTGTAGATCTGTGTAATTAATACTTGATTAGAGTGATTGATATAAAACCTACCACAGTAGCCTGAGAGAACTAAAACTGGCTTGGCAAATCCCAATTAAGAAAGTAGTAGATTGATCTAACCAAGTGTGACTTGATACTACAGAACAGATCCGACTAGACCCCAAAAATTGGAGAAGTTGTGCAACAAAGATCCTTTAGGCAAAAGAGATCTACCAACCTGGCCATCGGGAACACCTAACAGTAACCTTTGGAGAAAAAGGTCACATGCTATGAAATCATGGACTAGGGATTGACCACCAGATCTGAGCTTGGGAAACTCGGGTCCAGCAGACCAATTCTTTCAGGCCTTCTGAATTTGAAAGTATGATAATACCAAAAGGAGTAGGGTGCAAAAAGTGATGGAATGTAGTACAGAGATCTGCGAACCTTAAAAGGGTAAAAGTAGGTAATAGTAGGTAGTGTTCCAAATTGTTAAAATTTTACTAACTAGTTAGTTGCCAACTAACTGATTATATATATTACATGATATTTTCAAATATTAGCCAATCAAATCCAAGAAATCATTCTGAATTATTCCAAATAAGCAGAATATCTCAGAATTATATTAATTGAATGATTAGTTGGTTAGTTGTTTAAAAATTTTTCAAATTGATTAGTTGGAAAGTTGTCAACTAGTTGGTTATTCAACTAACAATTTAAAACACTAATGGTAGGGGTTCAATAGTTAGCCCTGACCCCAAGTACATGAATTAAGACATGGCATAAATTACTAAAGTTTAGGTGAATATATATATGAGAATGTACTACTCTGGCAGGTTTATCTCAAGGATAAATCAGAACATACGGTCTCATTCTAAGTCTGGCTATTAATCTAGTGATATTGCATAGTTTCATAATGTCTTGATGTACATGGTGAGGTTACACCCAGGTCTTAAGTCCCACATGGTAGAAATAAAGATATAATCAGAGGGTTTAAATGGGTATTTCTCTAGTTAGGTGCAGGTACGGCAGATAGTGTAAAACCTTCGGGTGGACTACTTAAATTAGATACTCAAAAGGTGCATATGTGGCTATATATACTCTTGTTGTATACTGAAATAATACTTAATGATAATAAATTGCTATTGACAAAGAGGTCACCTTAACAAACAAACAAAAAAAAAATACTTGATTAGAGTTAGAGTAAGGTTAGAGTTAGAGTTTGGGTTAGCAGTTAGGGTAAAGCTTAATATATACCAAAATTTTACAAGAAATTTTTTTTAAAGCTTGAAAAGTAGTTTCCTAGACAAAATTTTGAGATATTAAGAAATTTTAAATTTTTCTTTATTTTTGTTATACAAAAATAATTTACCTGATCTTCAAATTTAATTGGTTAATTATTAAGAAGCGATATATAAGCGTACTGCAGGGGCGCGATGCCTATTTAAGTTCTATTTTAATTACATATCGTTATTTTAATTACAATCGATAATTCAAAATTTGTAATCTCTGATTGGATAAATTCCAATGTCACGGCATAAAATGATCTACAAAAAATTAGCCAATCACAATGAAAGCCCGCTATGCTGTCAAAATTTAGTTAGAGTCAGGGACGATGATTTTATGCTGCAATAAACTATGCGCATATGTTTTTCCTTAATTGTGTTAGTATTTTGCTCCCAAAATTTATAATTATTCTATGTCTTGCGCATAAAATGCACAGTTTCATAACTATGAAAGTAATAATTCGAAACTGGATATGCCTTACTTTACCAATAACTCCACCGACAGCTCACTTTGCCGACACCACGCCAAGTGACAATTTGCTGAAAATATGTTGCAACTAATAAAACGCCAACATTAACTCTATGTGATATCAGCTAAACGAACTTTCGGTGAAATTATTCAATTTTTTCTCGACCTTGCTTGTAATTTGTGTTGATTGATTTCTATTCGGAGCCTTTCAGAACAGCACTTAGAATATTATGCGATAATTACTTAATAGCGCCATATTTTATGCGGCAAATATAACCTGTTATGTGTTGTAGGCTATATTATGCGGCTTATGCGGTTTTATGCGATTTGCATAATAATAAAATCATCGTCCCTGGTTAGAGTCATATATGATGATCAAACAAAATTGTATGTTTTTTTTTTTTAAACTGTAGTTCTACACTGTAACAGAACCGGTTTTTAATAACTTTTAATAAAATTTTGGATTAATTTTTATTAATAATTAACATGGGTTATTAAAAAACCGGTTCTGTTACAATATAGAGCTAGTCTAGAACTACAGTTTAAAAAAAAATATGGTATATATAGTGATGTGAGTTGGTAGCTACCGGTAGCTATCTACCACTGGTAACTACCGGTAGTTACCGGTAGTTACCGTGAGGTTAATGATATAAAGTGGTAGATAGCAGATAGATGGTTAGTAGTTTATTAAATCTGATTGGTTAATTACAGCTTGCACTATATATATATAGGTAGAAAAATTAGCTAATTAGATGAAAGTTTGCTATACTACCGGTAGTGGTAGCTAATGGTAGCTACCACCTACCGGTAAATACCGGTAGGAAAATTGAAATTTGGTAGAATCTCCATCACTAGGTATATACAATTTTGTCTGTTAGTTGTGTAGAAAAATGTACCTAAATTAGTACAAATTCATATATAAATTTATAGGTCAAATAACCCTTTAAAAAATCCGAACTTAATGACCCTAACTATGTTTTGATTAATTAGTTTATTGAACACCCTAACCTAATGCTAATAACTGGATTTTTTAATACAGTACTATTTCAATTTTCTTCAATGACTATGTTGCTAAGAATTTGATTTGGTTATCCACAATAGTACAGTATACAGTACATAGAAACTATTAACGTAATATATGCATATCTTGAATTTTAATAATGTAAACATTTCTTTGTTGGGTTGAAGAAAATTTACGTTTATAAAGTCACGGGACATGAGCTTTCTTGAAAGTTGCATTTGCTGCAAGGGCTTCACCGATTTGATAGAATTGTGTGTGTTTGATATGGTCATCTCTATATCGCTAAAAGAAAATACAGGTTCACATTACTTTTCTCAATTCAGCAGCCTATTAGTTGAATAAACCACATATTGATATTATTTAGTACACATTCGGTATATAAATTTATTTAATTAAAATAGTAGTTTTATTACAAAAATCCGTATTCATGTGTTTTTGCATTAATCAGGTTCTAAATTTCGACAGCATATTAATCCTTAACGTTTCAGGACATTAATAAGGGCTGGTTGGATACCATATTACGCCTTTTATATATTAAGGTAACCTCTCCCAACTCTTATAAGGTATTATCTTATAAACTATATCAAGATCACGGAATAATGATATCCTTGGCCTTGTGGAAACATCTTTTCGCTAATACCCAACGACCCAGGATATTATTATTACATCTAGTGATGGGGTTTAATAAATGGTAACGGATATACATCTTTCTAGATTTATCTCGCGCATGTAAGCACGTACGTACATACGCATGGCAAAGTATATATATGTACTAATCTTATCGAGTGTGTGTATCAAAGTCGCACCAAATTGAATATTGATATGGTAGCACTTTCACAAATGACGCATTCAAGAAACATTTTCACAATGACACATGTTAAACAGGATTGTGATACCCATTCGAAGAGAAATTAACATCATGTACTTGTTTGCATATCGATATCGGATTTTTCCCTAATTCAGTGCTGCGGTATATAAAGGATCTAATCCGGATAAAATTTGGCTTTAAAGGTATGGGGCACGTCCCCTACTTGCTCTACTTTCCACGTTCGATCTTATACACTGCCCTGATCCATTGACTATTTCTAATTTAAAATGATTGCAGTTGGAAGTTTCTAAGACAGGAGTACGATCATGAAATATTTGTTGATTATCATTCGTGCTTTTTTCATGAAGCCCTTATTTAGATCATAAACATGGCAAACATGGTCGAGATTTCTTTGTGTTACAATTTTCATATGGCAGTGTTTTATAAAAAGAGAACATGAAAAGTCAAGATTTTTAAATCATTTTTTTTTGGTAAATTTCTTTCCATTAAATTTTTGGAATTCTCAAATTGATTGCGAAATAATTTATTCGAAAATGACTATTCCATTCATTAATTATAGGAAGAAAAAAAATTTAAGAGACAATGTATGTAGTATTCGCTATCCCTTACTGCACCTTTTTATTATGTAAGTAAATAAAAAATTTAAACATCGATTCGTAAAATTCGGATACTAAAGGTATAAAATCGATTTCTATAACTTGATCTAAAATACAATATACCTCTGAAATTGAAGGCTATCGGATCCAGTTCGCGTTTCTATTATACCTTTCATCCCTGGTATTTAAACAAAAGCGAAATCCTCCAGATTTAAGACAACGATTAATTGCCACAGTTCTCAAAACCATCACTGAAACCTTACCATTATGGATGACTAGATATTTATTCTACCTGTATAGCGTTTTTGAACAAATCACAAATGGAATGTTTATAGGAAAACAAAGAAATCAATGGTGTCGTCGACTAAAGGGTGGAAACGGATGGAATGGATATCTTATCGCTGAAAATGCTAACACTGTCGATGTTGGTGAAAATGCTGATATAGTTATTTTATATGCACATGGTGATATTTCTTAATTAATTTGATATGCCCCTTATTGAAAACAAAAAAAAATATCAACAAAACTATTAACTCTACTTATGCTATGTTTCTATTAAATGGTTTAGGTGGTGCTTTTAATATTGGTGGACCTTTGATATCTTTGGTAACTTTTGTAAAGTGGATTAAAGCATGGATGCTTAGTCGTGGGGCCAATACACACATATTATCGTTAGAATATGGTACTATAGCATTTAATATCTATTTGTATTTTAATGTATCTTTCATTTCATTTTTACAATTTGTAAAATATTGTCCGCAGGTCTTTCACCAAAACATACCTTCCCAACGGCACGTGACAATTTGTTGAATTGTTACCAATGGTTAGTCGAAGAAAAAGGAATTAATCCGTCCAAGATCGTTTTTGGTATATAAAATAGTCTCGAATTATATATATATCTTTAGTCAGTATCATTATTTCTTATTTTATTCTTAAAATTAATAGCTGGTGATAGTGCTGGTGCAAACATTTCCGTAATAGCTGCCTTGGAACTTCTTAACAATCCAATAGCCTACACTGTTCCTCTACCATCAAGTTTGCTTCTTATTTCTCCTTGTTTCTCGGTAAATTATCTTTCAAATATTACAATATCATATTACACACTTCCATTTCATTATTATTTATATATTTATTTAATAATAGGCTCTCACTACCTCACAAACATTCAAAACAAATTATGATTATGACTTAATAAGCAAGTATTGGTTCGATGCCTGCTTAGCAAACTACCTAGGTAACTCTAACCTACTCCCAGCATGTCCTCTAATATCCCCGTTAAACAACCGTAATCTACGTGGTCTACCTAAAATGTGGATATGTGTTGGCTCTTACGAAGTATTCCTGGATGACGTATCATCATTCGTTGAAAAAGCTAGAAGCCAAAATATTAGTGTTGAATTTATGGTTGAAGAAGATAATATGCATAATTACGCTATTACATGGCCTATATCAAGAAATGGTGGTGCGCAAAAAGCTGTTAAAAACATGTCTCAATTTTTGTTTGGTGAACAGTCTATCGTCTATCACTTGTAAAGGTGTAAATGAATTTTCTACAAATACTACCTTTTAAAGTTATTCTACTACACTTTTTTGATTAGGTTTTGTTTCTTTTAGATGAAATTTTTATCTAGATTATACACTTTTTGAAATCTTTTGTACTTCTTATCATCATTTTACATTTAAAAAATTCATTTATACACGTTTATTAAAAGTACTTTATATCCAAATCTATTCTTTTAATCATAAATCAGTTTTTATTAATCAATAAAAAATTGCTATATATTATTGTGGTTGTTATTATATCTAGTTGCTAAACGAATCCTAGAGGTTTTGTCATTGACAAAAATTGAAACTTAGGTTTGATTTTGGTCAACTGTCGAATTGCCAAAAATATTAAGATTTTGTTCAAAAAGATGTTTAAAACCATTAATATATAGTTATATTTAAAATTGCAAAAATACAGTACGTATTAAATTTTTTTATTAAGTTAACTTTTATAAAAATGATACGTATCGCAATATTATAATATTGTTATATATATATATATAGTATATATATAATCATAATATATTTATTCATTGATAATCTATTATATATATGTATTATTTATACGTATAAACTTAAAAAACTAACGCTATATTTAATAACATTGATCGATATTTCTTTTAAAAGCTCGGAAGAAATTCAAGTTCCCTTTGATGTCATTAAGTTGCCGGTATCATTGATGTCACTGGGGTGGCCAGATAATTTTTGCTAATTTTGATAATACCAGAAAGGGGTCTTTTGACTTATATCAGGTTATCTTATATTTCATAAATTTCGTTAGCTGCTGGGTGATTCTTTTCTTTCTTTTTCAGATAGTATATATAGGGTTGAAAATTACATAAATTACATTTACGTTACATTGGGGTGGTCTGTCAACTAAATAAATCAAAACTATATGTGGTCACTTATAATTTAAGCTTATTGAATTTTTTTTAA